TATGCCTTTTCAGGATCTGATACTTTGAAAGATTTTTTTGACTATTAAGTTTTTTATACCTCTCCTTCCACATTGTGTTGTTCAGAAAACCCCTAGGCCTTCTGAGAGTGGCATGGGCTCAGAGGTCCCCGGGAATGTGTTTGCCATGTGTGAGGTGCCTCTGATCCAGCCTCCTTACCTCTTTATGCAAAAGGGTGGGAGTTAACCGAACTGCTGGATCCCTAGTTCCCGATGTGGATCAGACTCCGCCCTGTGGCGGTATCTGGGAACTGCACTTTCCCACCAGGCTTGCCTCAGGAGAAAGTGGTCGTTGCTATTGTCCCTTGGAATGCGGAAGGGCAGCTCATTCTTGTCACCTCTTCCCCATTTCCCTGTTTCACTGAGCCCGCAGCCACTTGAGTTAGTCCTTCTCTTAGGAGGCCAGGCAGAGAGCCTGCTGAGGGGAGGATACAGAAAGAAGCTTGCCCGCTCCTCACAGCATGGCATTCTTGAGCTGTTAAGGGCAGCTTTACCTAGACCACATCTTTTCTTTCTTCTGATTTGTGGTTTTTGAGACAGGGTTTCTTTGTGTAGTCCTGGCCATCCTAGAACTTGACCAGGCTGCCCTCAAACTCACCGAGATCCGTCTGCCTCTGCCCCCAGAGTGTGGGATCAAAGGCGTGCATTACCACTACCACCACTGGCTGCCCAGATCAGATCTTAGCAGGGGCAGTAGTAGATATTCCAAGTGGAATAACTTCTCCAGTGGGAGGTCTCCTGGCCTCTCAGTGGACATCATCATTCTTCTGGCTAGAACTCTTTACCACGTATCCTTTAATGTGCGCTCAGGAAACCCAGCGAACCACCTTCCCTGTGGAAGCTTTTGGTCTGCCGTGATTTCCTGAAGCCCCACTGTCTAGCTCAGCACCCCCCCCCCCCAATGTTATCTGCAGCTGGGTTTTTTCTGGTCAGTTCCCGGGGCTCTGCGGACATATACACAGCTCCCATGCATAGTTGCAGCCGTAGCCTCTTACTTTGTTGTCTTCTGAGCAAGCATGATATTGGCACCTCATGATGTTCTGTCCTTTGGCTTAGCCGGTCTGTATCCTTGTTATTTTGTTGCTGTTGGGAATTGACCTGAGCATGCCCAGCAAGTGCTCTGCTGCCAAGCCACAGCCTGGTCCCTATCTCTGGTAACTCTCTTGTTCCCAGCAGGAGAGCGGTGATTGAGTGTCCTATCAAAGGGCTCCATCGTTGAGGAGGGCAAAGTGGGTGTTCACCCATGTTATCGTTAGAACTCTGAACCAAGAGTGCAGGAGAGCGGACTGAAGGGTTTCACGTAGTGGCTGGTCAGGCACACATCAAACTGAAAAGCTTTTGTGTACTGCGGAAAGAAACTAACCGCTGGTCACTCCTGGAGGCACCAGCTTGTCTTAGAGCCTCAAGAGACTGAAGTGTGAGGATCATAAGTTCAAGACCTGCCTGGGCAACTTAGTAAGATCGAGTCTCAAAATCAAAAGTAAGAGGAGGGCTGGGGATGTGGTTCAGGGTTGGAGCTCTTGTCTTCTCTTCACCCCAATGCCGAGGAAGAAAACGACACCCCAAACTAACAAACAAGCAACAAAAACCACTGATTCTAAGAAGAAATAGGGAACTATTGGCAGTTAGTCCATTTTATGGTTGTAATCTTTTCACACACACAAAGTATACAAATAAATGTTAAATGAGCAAGATAGATTTATGCCTGGGTGTTTATCTGTGTAATTGCCACTTACATCCTGAGAATGCTTTCCGAAGCCCAGATGGGAGCTTCTCTGGGTTCACAACATTTAGACGCCAAGTTCCAGATGGCTCACGGTGGCTCTGGGGTAACTGGGGCTGGATTATTACAGCTGCCCTCCCCCGCCCTCCGCCACAGGGAGCAGGGCTTTAGACTTGAGGGCAGGCAGTGATGCACCGTGGAGCTGCCTGCCACAGCCGCCCCGTTACTGTTACTGTTACTGTTACTGTTACTGTTACTGTTACTGTTAGGGCTGAAGTGATCACAGCGGCCAGTGTACCGGAGCTGCCCTGCTCCTGTTGTGGCGTTGGCCCTCTGTCATGGGCGCCGAGCGTTCGAGCTGCGGTGATTTACCTCAGACCCCACAGCTTGGAAGTTAGAATTAAACTCAGCACTGCCAGGGACTGTTTCTTCTTTTTTAAAAAAAAGATTTATTTTTATTTTATTTGGATAGGTGTTTTGCTTGCAGGTATGTCTCTTTATCCTGTGCGTGCAGTGCGCATGGAGGCCAGAAGAGAGGATACACTGGAGCTGGACTTAAAGATGGTTGTGAGCTGCCATGTGGCTTCTGGGAACTGAACCCAGGTCCTCTGGAGGAGCAGCCAGTGCTCCTGAGCCGACTCTCCAGCCCGTAGAGACTGCTTTTCATTGGTGATCCATTGCCTCATTCTGTTTCTAAGTTCAGGTGGTGGTGGCATTGTTCTTTGAAGACAGGGTCTCCTGTACGGCAGGCTGGCCTAGGCCTGGCTATGGAGCTGAGGTTGAACTTGAAGTTCCGATCCTCCTGCCCCTGCCTCCCCAGGGCACCACTACACCAGGCTTAGGCTGGAGACTTGTAGAAGTGGTGGGAGCAGAGCCGTGGCTCAGCAGTTAAGAGCGCTCACTTCTCAAGGCTGTGCCTGGAGTTGGCAGGACAGCATCTGTGTGACAAGCTGTGTGCCCTGTGTACCCCAGCACTGGTATAGGGACCTGAGACGTGTTGGGGCTTGCTGGCTTCTCTTCTAGCCGAGCCCCAGGAGTTCCAGGTGCAGAGAGACGGCCTCAGCAGGAGTAGGTAGAGAATAATAGAGGAGCCCATGGATGCACTCGTCTGTGCATATACACCACATACATGTACACGTGTGTGTGCTCACACACACTAACAAAAAAATTCGGTGGGCAAATGCGTGCCCGTGTTAGGAAAGTGGCAATCTTAATAAGATTGTGTTCCAGAAATTACCCTTCAAAAGCAAACTTCTGCAGGCACTAAAAGGAAAATCAAACAATTGCTGTGTACTTCAAGGTCCTGTAAACCAACAGCACATGCCACTGTCTTCATTTAGTCTCATGGTACAGAACACCACTGTGTTTGAAGAGTTCCAGCTATTAGACATTTATAAAAATGCGTCCAATGCTTGCTCATTCATTCTTCTTCTTGTTGTTGGCTGGAGGAGTGGGGACTGGCCCTTGCCAGACATTTGCAAGGCCCTCAGTTTCATTCTTAGTACTGCACAGGGAAGGCATAATAAAATTCGGGTTTCCCAGGATCAAGTAATTGCAGGAGGCATCAGATTGCTGTAAAGAAACATAAGAAATTCATCACGAGCCAGGTAGAGGTGCACACCTGTAATCTAGCACTTTGAGGTATAGGCAGGAGGATTAGGAGTTCAAGGTCAGCCGGGCTACAGAATGAGTTCATGGTCAGCCTGGGCTACACGAGGCCTCGGAACCCCCACCCCCACTAAATAAAATGTTCCCCTGACTCTGAAAGTACACGCAGTTTTATCCGTTCACTCTCATGACGGACTGGGTGGAGGAAGGGCTGCCTGCCGCTGCTGTGGTGGCTCTCAGAGGTGTGTGATGCCAGAAGCTTGCCCAGGATTGTTCTCACACCGGTTGATTTTAAGTGTGATGGAGGGGAGCTTCCTTTTGAAAGCTGCTGCTGGCGGCTCATTACTGGCTTTGTTTAATAACTCATGTGTTTAAATGACAATGTCGGGAAAGAAATAGAATTGTGAGTAATGATTACACATTTAAGGCTATTCCTAAAATATAAATGAAATGTGAAACATTTTCTTCCCAAAATAAAATAAGTATGTAAAGCCACAGTAGCAGGCAGGCTAATGTCTTCCTTTGCCCTCTCTTTCTTTTAGTCTTGTTTGAGTTGCTTTCTGAACATACTGGGGACCAAGCTGAGGGGTGTCACTTAAGAACTCTGTGTCCTTAGGATGAATCTCCCCCCACCCCACGCGCAGCGCACCTGCTGGATAATGCCCTGGCCAGTGACTCTTGGTGTGGAGCGAGTCAAGTCACTCCTTCAAAGCCAGTGGGAGGTCAGCCACGGCCAAGCTGAGGGATCTTGAGAACAGATAGATGTCAACACCCCATCCATGATGACTGTTTTCTTGTCTCTCTGTTGTTCTGCTCCAGGCTGGCCTTGAACTCGTAGGGATCCACCTGCTTCCTCCTCCTGAGTGCTGGGATTAGAGATGTAAGACACCTTGCTCGGCTTTTAATCTTAAGAGAAAACTGTGATTTCTTAATTGTCCATTCTCAGAAGGTGTCAGTTGGAAAGCGTTGATAAACAGAGGAATATAATTGAAGGAAAAACGTAGCCAAAAGATCGCAGTGAAATTGTGTGATTCCTGACACACTCTTCAAGACAGTTTCTTCAGGGCAGCACACAGACACACATTTCCCTCTTCTTGTCTCCATCTTGTTTTGGTTTTTATAGTTGGTACTTAGTGAAGTTGAATAGGTCTGAATTACAGTTTCTTATTTTCCTAGATACTTAGCCCAAAACTATTAGGGGAAAAAAATGTAATAGATCTTTTGCAATCTTTCTGAATACTCTAGACGGGAAAATGTAGACCATTTAGTACCTTTTCTTCACTGGAGTCGTGTGCTGAGGAGACTGTTGTGGAGTAGACAGAAGGAAAAACGAAACCAGGGGCCGGAGAAGTGGCCCAGAGGTCAGAAGTGTGTGCTGCTGCTCTTGCACAGGAGGAGTCCTGCGCTCAGCACCCACAGGGGTGACTTGGAACTTGGGATGGCCTGTAACTCCAGCTCTGGGAATCTGATGCCCTCTTCTCATCTCTGGATATTTATACTCAATATGCATAGGTTATACACACAGATACATGTTCACATAATTAAAAATAAAATCTTTAAGATAACCTAATACAATTAAAACGTGTTGTTTCCTAAAAAGCAGAATTCAACAAAACTGATACTGTTAGGTAGGAAGTAAAATGAATTTTAAAATAAGGCTTTTTTTTTTTTCTGATTGTTTTACCAGTCTTATTTTGTGACGGACTATGATCCAACCATTGAAGACTCATACACAAAGCAGTGTGTGATTGACGACCGAGCAGCCCGCCTGGACAGTAAGTAAACTTCTGAAGTGCCCTGGCTTTCAAGTGTTACGTTTGATGTTCTCAGCTTAAATAGTATAGCTGGACTATTAGCTAATCTTGAATATAAGCCCTTCACTACCTGGTTCCCCTCCCCCTTTACTGAGGAGTAAACAGTGGGCCTTGTACATGCTGGGCAAGGGCCCCACCTCTGAGCTAGTCCTGGCCATGTTTCCACTGTCATTGGTTCTGATAGATGAATCTGCATGCTGATCCATTTAAATACTCCTCAGCAGATGGGCAGGAAAACAGTAACGGGATTGATTTTTGTTCTGGAGAAGCTGATCTTGTTTGTAACTTGTTGAAGTGTTTATTAGGGGTTGTTGGAAGAAACATCAGGTCTCAGCACGTCATGTCTTCTGGCAAATGTTAAGACGGAAAGTGGCCGTAGAGAGATTCGGTATTTGTTAACTGGGAATTTGTAGCTAAGAGGCTTTAACACTAACAGCCCCTCCCCTCTGAAGAAGACCCTGTTGTTTTAACTAGTAGGACGGTCAGAAATACATTAGTGGCCAGACTAGGAGAGAGGGAGAGAGGGATGGGGGAGAAGGAGAGAGAGAGGGGGAGAGAGGGAGAGAGGGGGGAAGAAGGAGAGAGAGGGAGAGGGAGAAGGAGAGAGGGAGGAAGAGAGAGGGAGAGAGGGAGAGAGGAGGGAGAGAAGGAGAGAGGGAGGGAGAGAGGGAGGGAGAGAGGGGGAGGGAGAAGGGAGAAAGACAGAGACAGAGAGGGAGACAGAATGAATCAAACATAGTTTTTTTAAGATTTATTTTTATGTGCATGAATGTTTTGCCTGCATGGATGTATGTGTATCACATGCCAAAGAGGCCAGAAGAGGGTCTCAGATTCCCCGGAACTGTAGTTATAAGCAGTTATGAACTGCCGTGTAGGTTCTGGGAACAGAACCTGGGTCCTCTGGAAGAGCAGTCAGTGCTCTTGATCACGGAGCCGGTTTCCCAGCCCCAACCTCAGTTTCTTGATTGAACTTACAGACATCTTTTCCAAGATCTTTCCACGGAGATGATAAATTACCAAATGATTTTTAGAGTTGATTTGGTCCCATCTGCTTGGATGTGTTTGATATTTTTAACCTTGTAATTGGTATGCTAATATATTCTAGCCACAGAATCAATCTGTGCGATGAAGATAAACTCGGAAACTGTCTGCCATTAGATTATGTCTGCCTTTGGTGATAGATATGAAATATTAAGACAGGAATGCCACTGCCTCTTACGCCAAATAGGAGGCTCTGTGGCAGACCTCATGAGGGGGCTGCCCATGTGGGGAGGTGATTTACCAAGTGAAAACACCGTTTTCTTTGTTGTGTTTCTTCAGTTTTGGATACAGCTGGACAAGAGGAGTTTGGAGCCATGAGAGAGCAGTACATGAGGACAGGCGAGGGCTTCCTGTTGGTCTTTTCAGTCACCGACAGAGGCAGGTTGGTGCCATCCAAGTGTGGGGGCAGATACGATTGAAAACCATTGTGTACGTGTGTGAAAATGTCTTAGAGAAACCCACTACTATGTCTAAGTCATATACTATTGCTAATGAAAGCTTAAATCAGGAGTGGTAGGTTCTGTCCAGATTGCTATTTTATGGAATTAAGATTTCCGTTTCTTTACAGTTGAAAAACTGGCAATACAGTAGTAAATGAAACACAAGATTCTCTGAATTTAGATTCTTAGCATAATGCATTTATTTATTATTGTTTTTTAGTTTTGAAGAAATCTATAAGTTTCAAAGACAGATTCTCAGAGTCAAGGACCGTGATGAGTTTCCCATGATTTTAATTGGCAATAAAGCCGACCTGGATCATCAGAGACAGGTGAGGAGGGAGGAATTCCGTGCTGGGGAAGCTGTGAAAACGCAACGGTTTACTTAATGAGACAATAGAGTGCCCGTGCTCAGAAAGCCTGTGCGGCATGTCACCAGCGTGGTGCTGAGTCTGGCACACTGTGTCTCACAGACTGGCATGTGCAAAGTGTGAAGGAACTTTGGGGGGATTATATTTAAATTACTTTTACACAAAATCCCAGAAAGCTCTCTATATGAGCCTGCATATGTCTGCTTTAGTGCCAGGCTCATGTGGTTTCTTGGATAACATCTAGAAACTATAAGTTAAGATCATTTTTTTTTTTGTCTCCTTCCCCTCCCCTCCCTCTTAAAGAAAATTTAATCACCTTTCTTCTTTAAGCAAAAAAGAAGAAAAAAACAAATTCTTTTTATATCCATTATTCAATTTGTCAAACTCCGATGAAGAATTTTCGTGTAGCCATGTCTTTCTCTCCCCTCTGTTTTTTGCTGTTCTCAGGTAGGGTCTTACTGTGTGGCCCAGGCTGCTTTTTAACATGTGACTCTTCGTCCCAGCCTCCCAAGTGCTGACATCACAGGCCTGTGCTGCCATGCTTAGCTCACACAGAACCGTAAAGCTACCCCTCCATGCCTGATTTATTCACTGTTTATCCACAGTCTCCTCTAGTTAAGGGATAGCTGTAAGGTCAATTACAGTATATAGACACCCCCAACTAGTCTTGCTGGGTAGCCTAGGCTGGCTTGACATTTGTAGTTCAGGTTGATCACAAAAGGAAAATCCTCTTGCGTTGTTAGCCTTCTGGGATTGTGGGAATGCACCATGACACCTGGCTTTGGATTTTTCTTCAGTGTAATTAATAAATACCTGAATTTTCTCTTAATGCTTCACATTGGCCAGCTCTGACGCTAGTGACCTTCATCAGTGTTAGTTTCTTTGGCACCCCTCAGTGTGTATTGTGTACCCTGTCTTTTTCGGAACGGGATCAGCTTCCTCTGCTGTGGAGTTCCCCGTGTGGATTCCCTTTAGCCTCCATCACAACATCTAGAGCCTAGCATTGAAATATTAGTCTCTTTTGCTAATATTTCCTTGTTTTCATGTAACCTCATGTTAACAGATCCTTTTTACTTACTTGTCTATTAATATTGTTATTATATGTGCATATAGTGTGTGTTTGAGCCACAGTGTGTGTGTGTGTGTAAGTCAGAGAACTACTTTGGAGTCTGTTCTCTCCTTCCACCTTTACCTGGGATCATCAGTTCAGGTTGCCAGACTTGTGTGGTAAGTGCGTTTACCTGCTGAGCCATGTCACCAGCCCTGTTAATAGATTCTTAAGATCTTGTTGGCACAATACAGACATCAGGAAAGTGGAAGGACATGAGACACGGGAGCAGGTCACGACCTTTAAGCCGGGCGGTGGTGGCATATGCCTTTGATCCCAGCACTGGGGAGGTAGAGGCAGTCAGATCTCTGAGTTCCAGGACAGCCAGGGATACACAGAGAAACCCTGTCTCAAAACAACAACAACAACAAAAACCCACAACCTTTGATCGGTGCTGTATTTGTTCATTTTTTAAAAATTTTTTATTATTATTATTATTATTATTATTATTTTGTGTGTGTGTGTGTGACTGCATGTGGGTATGCTGTACAGGAGTGCAGGTACCCATGGAAGCCAGAGGCATTGGATTCCTGGAGCTTGAGTAACAGATAGATGTGAGCCTGTGAGGAGACTGGGAGCTGAACTCTGATCCTGCAAGAACAGCAAGTGTTGTTAACCACTGAGCCATCTCTCCAACCCCTGTGAAATATTTTGGAAACATACTGAATTTCAGACATGAATGTAAGGTGATGATTCAGCCTGTGGGCATCACCGTGTTGTTATCTGCAGATGTACCAGGCCGTATTGGTGGCGGCTCTGGGAGGTGTGTGGTTTGCAGACTGCAGGCCTGACAGATGCCTGGTCTCACACCGAGACTCAGAAAAGTGCCTTGATAATATTAGTGGAGACTGTTCCTGTTAGGCCTCTGTCTGATGTGCATTGTTACAAAGTTACAGAGAGAAAATGTGCGAAGTGTACAATTGGGTGTCTGTTTTCTCCATGTCCTTGCAGATGAACTTAATTATATTTATTATCTAGGCCCGGGGCCTCTCTGTGTGGGTTCCAGCACTTGGCTCTGCTGGGTGGGGAAGGGTGACGGATTACACAGAGAAGGCCTCTGCTCCGGTCTCACACTCACTTCTGCCCGCCCCTCACTGCTAATTGCCGCCATGGTAGGAGTAACGTCTTTCTCAAATGTTTTTGTGTCGGTAACTCCAGCGAAAGAATGGAAGGGAAGCGTGGAATGTGTAGATGTCTCCAGAGCAGGTAGTAGCAGTTGAGGAACAGCAGGAGGCTAGACCCCTGGAAACAACAGGTCTCATTATTAGCCCCCACCCAAGTCCTACATGTATTTTACAATCATTTATTATGATTATGATTGTGTGTGTGTGTGTGTATGTGTAATGTATGTTGGCTCACATGATACAGCATCCTTGTGGCGATCAGAAGACAACTTTTTGGAAGTTGGTTCTCTCCTTCTATCCTACGTGGGACCCGGGGATTGAACTCAGATCCCAAGGCTTGCACAGCTTAGCCACTTTGCTGGCCCTGTGTGAGCTTTTTTGAAGTTACCTGTTTACTAAAGAGTGCCAGCGTGTAGCATGTAGTTTCCATCTGTCTGCAGGTAATCAGCGTATTGTGACACTGCCTGTCTATGTGTCACGGGATTATAGATACATTCATGTGCATAAAAATGTAATGAAATTTCAGTGAAGTCATAAAATAGGAGTAGGAGATAAGTCGTATTTCTGTCACCTTAAAGATGTGAGTTGTTAGCTTGGAGTAAGCTTTTCTGAATTAGTTATGTATGTGCTGGAGATCTCAGGTGTATGTCTGAGGGAGCAAAGCAAGAGGCTGAATCTGGTTTAGTGTGGGACCATATGCCATCAATAGAGGACACTCAACATAGACCTTTGATCCCTACATGCACATGAACAAATGTCTGTGTACACATACACCTACCCTCATACCCCTGAGAGAAGAGAATAATATTGCAGGAAGAAAGAGAATTTGTGACTACATGGAACCTTTTTTTTTTTTTTTGGTAGGAAGGGATTTGCCATGATTGGTTTCTCAAAATAGAAACCTTTCTTTGTAAATTAGGGCCCTGGGAAGCCTCCTTTTCTCACCTGGCTTCCTAACTTATTGTCACTTGCTTGTAGAATCTGGTATGTATTTTAGTCTCATAGCCTTAGGGCAGGCATACTATTTTGAAGAAAGGCCAGGTAAATTAAAAAATCATACAAAATGTTGATATGCCAATACTGTGTGAGACCTGTGGGCTCCTCTGTTGGACTGCAACAGGGCATGGACCCTGTGAAGTTGTGCTGGGCCTTACAGTACTGATTGCATGTTTTACTCAGGTTGCTGAGTCTGGGGGAAAGGAATGTGAGAATCCCATGTATGCACTCAGAAATAATCAGTCATGTAAAGAAAGTCCAAAGCACAACCCGAGTTAAGAAGAGACAAATGTCACAGAAGAACGGACTCAGTAGACAGACACTGAACAGGGCCCAGTTCTCTGTCGGTAACCTGAGGCTCTAGGAAGCACTGACTGTGAGGTGGATGTGACGTGGGGTGTGCACAGAGGTCAAGTCAAGCCTCCAGGAGCTCAGGTGATAAATGCACTAGATGCTGCTGGCAGTACAAGTGTAATGGCTGAAGATTTCTGAATTTGATGGAAACTGCATTGTACACGTCCAAGATACTCAGGCAAACCCAGAACACAAGACAGGTTACAATAAAGTGCTCATTGACCATGAAAAAGACAAAATCTGAGAAGGAGCTAAAGAAAAACAAAACTGCTCCCAGAGGAGCCAAGTTAAAGGTGGTGCAAGTTAGTATTGACTGTCACCGGGACAGGAGGGGACAAGCCTCTGGGAATGTTCATGAGGGATTACCTGGATTAGGTTAGCCCCTGGGTGTGCCTGTGAGGGATATCTACTGAAAGGTGAATGTGGGTGGCGTCAGTCCATGGGCTGGGGTCCTGGACTGCATAAAAATGAGAAAATGAGCTGAACACAGGCATTCATCACTCCCTGCTTCCTGATTGTGGAGGTCATGTGACCCCCCCCCCCAATGGGCTGTACCTTGAAGCTATGAGTCAAATCTGTTCCTTTTCTCAGCTGTTCTGTCACAGTAGTGTGTGCGGTCACTAATGCAGATGACATGTTCCTATCGTTTTTCACTGGAAACAGTGTAAGGCAGAAGGTGACCTCTCTTACGTACCGAGAGCAAAAGCCTGTTTTCTGTAAATGAATGTCCAGCAAATACTTGCTTTAAAAATGAGATTGAGTTAAAGATTTCTCCCCAAACATATGAAATGTAAGAGTTCAGTACCACCAGACCTGAATTATCAGAAATATGAAGACATCTCAGGCTGAGAGATAATGACCCCAAAGGGGTAATGCGAGAAATCCACGGTGTCTGCTTAAAGCAGAAAGGAATTTACTTGGGGAGAAAAACTCACTGTACAGGACAGAATTGTCACAGGTTCTGGAATGCTGGGTACAGTCTCATGTGGTCCCACTGTCTCAGTCTGCCCTGAATCCAAATCCACGAGGGAGAGAACTGCTTAGGTGCGTCTCAGGTCTTAAGGGTTGAGAGGCCATGCCCCAGGGACATGTACTTCAAGTCACAGGTAGGTAGAACAGTTACCTGCTGTGTCTCTAGGGCTGCGCTTCAGGGTCATAGAACCGATAGCCACTACAAATGGGAGTCTGAGTCAACACGGAGGACAGAGGATCACTGGGCCTGGCAATTATGTGGGTAAATAAAAATGACATTGTTGTTATTTAAATCTGATAATTAAATGTTTGAAGCAAAAAATAATGCGAGGCAAAAGCTGGTAACACCAGAAAAGAGCAAGAAGGCAGAGCAGCGTTGTATAGGTCTCATGCCGTGTGTGAACTGG